GCCATGTTTGTCACGCGTCTGGGTTTCTCATGGGAAGGTTTTCGTCGAGGCTGTTTGTGTTGCTGGAGAATGGATGCCTCGCTACGTCTCAGCGCATGTTGATAATATGATTGACAACGACAATTTGTGCCAGTATAATGACAGCTGACAGCTCTGCAAGTAAGCCCATGAAATTGTAAATAGCTCGGCTACTTTAGCAACAAAGTTTCTGTACCATTCCGACCTGCACGGACTTCTGTCTTCGAGAGCAAAGTCAGCAGTCCCCGAATTAGTCATACTTCTCACCACATTCAGCCAGGTTTTGTTTCGCAGTGTTTTGCGTCGTATCTTGTGGACCTCACCGACGCGCAGAACAGGAGATATGACACTGCGTCCTGGTGTCTCGGTACGTGTCCATCCGACACCCACAGATAGAGACCAGCCCTCACGACGGTACAGCGAGTGCTGTCTGCCCGCCACGTCATCAACCAGCGGGCGTGCGATTATTACCCATGCTGTTCTTTATGGAATACTTCTTTAAGATCTTGGTTTCTTTTAAGGCTGGTTTTGTCTGCCGCCGACGCCCAGATACGCGTTCGGACTTTAAACGCCGGAACAGGTGGAGAAAATGTAGTTTCAATCGAATCACAGGCGTCCCTGGCATTTTGCATGTTTTTGGCACGATGATTTCTCCTTTGTAAATAACAACTTTTGGAAGCCCCACCCCAGTGTACAGCGTGGGGCGTCCATAAATCGCGTTACGCATGGGAAGGGAGGGGGGATTGGTAGAGCGCCACTGAAACGCAACAAACGGGATATGTACTGTGCAGGATTACGCTCAGACGTAGTTGCAAATCATACGAGCATCCTTTTAAAGGCCTGACCATCGAAACCAGTGAGTAGCCAGGGCGGAAAGAAAAGGACCGAAAATGCTAAACAGAGCTTACAGACAGCCTCCGGGCGTGTTCACCGGGGCGGAGAGGAGGCTGTGATGGACCAGACCCGGACACCACGGGTCGCTCATCCGACCCGTGGTGTCCGGCTCGGCCGCTGACGAAGACACCCGACCTCGCGCGCCGGAATGTTAACAGTCCGACACTCGAGCCCAATCACCGCTGTCGGCTCTGGCAACCAAGCCGTGCGGTATGGACTGCCACCATTAGCGGCCAGCCCCCGTGAGATATGGCGGGGTCACGTTAGCAGGGTAATGGGCCCGTCGCTCCACCAGGCTCGGGTGCCGATCCCACCAGGCTCGGGTGCCGATCCCTTTGTGCGGCACGTGAACAGGGCAAACATTTCGTTTCCTGGCACGCGGTGTACTGTTCTGATGCAACATCTGGCGTGCTTCAAATGCCACTAACCGCTTCCTTATAAATGCCATTCCAGCTGCCCAGTCGCGGCTCCGGTGCATCAAACTTGTCGAATATCGACAAATGCAAGAACTGTCACTATCCAAAAGCATCCATTTCAAAACGGCGGCTGCGACCGTCATGCTGTTATCTCAAACGCCAAGCCACGATACCGCAGGTCAATGAGCAGCTGTTCAAACACGGCAGCCCCGTGTCATAAGACTGCCGTCGTGTAATGCCCCACGGGCGATCTGATCCGCTCAGCGAACCATAACGGCGCCCCGGCAGTCTGGCACGGCGCCCGCCTGGCTGGGTTCGTGCGGTTTACAGCCCCATCGCCTCCCACCCCGCCGGCCTCCATCAACATGGACGCCCAAGTGGCGGCCAAATGTCCATGACCATCATGGCCGCATCTATCACCGGACCGCTTTTCGGCGCGTGTTGTGAGACGACGCCAAAAATATACGGGTATACACCGATCAGGTTGGCATCCCCGAACCACACGGGCGCCGCCGGCGGTGCCACCCATCATCAGCCGGCATCGCCACTGCCACCGGACGCCTGTCAGGACTCAGGACATGCATCAGTGGGCCTGTGGGAAGCTTAAAGACGTGTCGACCGTCATTTCCCGGCAGTGTTTGGACAACAGCTAATTCTGATATTACTAGGTCACACCCGTACAGTCCACACATATTGAGTGGATCATCCCTTCACGCTTGGAAAGGCCAAGGCCCCTGTCAGGTCGTGTTCCTCAGGAACGCATGGAAATACCAGCTGAGGGCGAGGCGCGGTCGACCAGGTCAATATTTGACTTGGAGGTGCGCGTCCGGGGGCGGCTGGCTTGCAAACCGTCTCACACAGACCCATCTGAGCAGCGGCGGGCTGGAGCACGGTCCACCCAAGCGCAACCACTAGCCATGCGACGATTGGACCGGACTGGACACATCATAGTAAATATGGAACAGTTACGCTGGCTGCATTTAGTGAGAAAACGGAACTGCGAAGAAGTTTCATTTAGGTCACAACTGTTGAAAACATTGGTTATTAGTGGTGGTGGCCGTGTGGTCATTATTCCTCGCATTCTATCAGGTAGTACCCATATTGAAGTGCTGATAACTATGACCCGTTTGACAAACGCTTAAATATTGGTTTGAGCGTGGCAGTTCAATTCGCTTCGAAAAGAAAACACCACGTGCAATATTGTCAACGCTTCACATCATGCACAGTGCGAGCAGGGTTACCGATGTTGCCAGTAAATCGCCAACTGGCGATTTTTGGAGAGCGCTTGGGAAGAAAAATGTCGCATTTTGCAAGCAATAGCAAATGACATAAATTGGCGACTTTTCCAAATCCATGTATATAAAGTAATAGAAGCTTGCAGAACGTGTACGTGTTATTATAGACTGAGGTAGATAATGCTATCGGTATTCAGCAACAGCGTTTAGCTTGCGGTGCCAGTTTATCTTCTGTAAGTGCTTGACCATACTTTTGCTTGCATCAGTCGCTTGCAAGAACAGCTGTGGAATCCGAGTTCTCGCTGGGTGAGAGATTATTGCGGCGAACAATTACGTCCTGAAGTTCCATTCCATCCAAGTCTTTTATACCCTAAATGTTTGTTTACGTAAAAAGTTAAGTGTGATGAGGCTGCTTCTGCACTGCTTCACTCCCCCCCCCCCCCCCCAACGTGTGTGCATGTCCTCTCCCCGTGAACAAAGAATATTGCATCGCGTTTGGAAGAATCGGAGCTAGCGTCCATGACCACCGCGTAAAAAGCCCAGATAACCGCACATGTCTTCCACGCTACCGTAACTAATCAGAAGACAGACTTGTTACTTTGTTTCTATGCTGGGGCGAATCAAATATTTTGCAAGGGAGGGAGCACAGTTAAAACTTTAGAAGACGAAGGCTGAGCAACATGTTTTAGCGCGCCGCGGGAGCGCGAGTTCCTGTGCATCACAATATTGCACGCTTCAATCTCCTTGTTTCTCCTTTTTTCATTTCAATACATATTTTTGCTGGGGTAGATATTAGCTGAGCTTGCACCTTTGAACGCCTCTCTACATATCATTATTATGACGTAGGCGCATAACTTTGGTAGAACTGGAAAACACAAAACAGAACACAACTAAATCAAACAGAGAGCATTCACGACACTCGCAGTGGCTGTGAGTGACCTAGTCAAATGAATACCGTTGAAACGGCCAAGACATAGGTGTATTTATGTTTCTTTTTTTAATAAACTGGACGTGGCAATGCAAAAAGATAAAAAGGCGGATGCAGTGTAAAATATATGGTAAAACGCAGCGCTGCAAATGGGGGCGTTAATGCTCCTAGCTTCCCAAAATGCTTCTCAAAGAAAACTGTCCGTGTCGCAACGTTTCTGCCTTGAATATGGTCACACCGCACCTACCAGACCTATGCAATGATGCACACCGATGTTTCGTTGCAACTAGCGTTTCCAAGCAGAAGCTATCTCGTCGGCAAAACATCCGCCTCCTCTTGTGCCAATTGGTGTCAGTATGGTCTGCTGCGCCGTAAACGAGACAAAGGCAATAATGCCGCTCCGTTGACTGACAATAGCTGTTCAAAACTGTGGCACGTAATTGGCCACGTCACCACGACAGCAACAGCGAGCACTGGGACAAGGACAGGGCAAGCCGAGCATCCATACGCTTCCATCAACGAACGCAGACAGAAGTGAACGTAATGTCTGTGGCCAAGTCCAGACAAGTTCATGGCTCGGAAGCGACAGCACAAACCGGTTTTCTCCACGGCCCCCAGCGGTTAATCTCCGTAGTTACCTTTCTCAGACTTTTCATTCAAATGCCAGACTCAAAGTCACCCGGCTTAACGTCGCGTGGCGACCTGACAGGGGATGATGAAGCAAAACTGTGTATGGGGGTGGGGGGGGGGGAGAGGTGGTGGTGAGAATGGGGCCTAACATATTTTGCTTATGCTAAGTAGGGTTACTTAATTTTTTTCTCGTTTACCACTTCTAGATCGAGAAGTAACTATCGTTTTCAATGGCAACCTTTTACATTTAATCAGCGCAGACAGACGCAAATATTGCTTCTTTGTGATACAAGGGTGTTAGAGGGGGGACGCCTCAGGCCCTTTATTGGGGCGCTAACAGTCTCTCATAATGCCCATGCTAGGACCAGAGCCTTGCAAACATACTGTAGCACGAAAAATGCACAGGTGAGAGAAGGAAAGATAAAAGTTGACTCAAGACATACCGTAACCCACTAAAATTGAGAGGCACCCAACCTGTGTAGCTCAGGAAGTCTATCTGAGAAAGGGTAACGGTATGAAATGATATGGTGTTGCTATGGGCGTCAGAGGAGAGAACCGTGAGAAACGCGTCTGTCTGCGGGAACTGTTGTGCTGGCAGTGCACCGCAATGACTCCCGAAATCGGACGGCACATGGCCATACTTTCTATTTCCTGTGGGAGCATGAAGCCATGGAGCATCGCCGTCGGTTTGCGAGCATTTATGGCAGACATTTCGCAGGCTTATGCGTAATGAAATGTCCATCAGCGCAGACATAAACGAGCTTCACATGTTGCCTCAGGCTTAGTGCCAACACAACACCACACCTTGTTGCCATCGGAACTTCACTGGGCATGTACTCTTCGTTCCACATCACACGACGTGTTCAATGGCTGACTTACTTGTCAACGAAGCCCTCGAACTCCTCGTGCTGTTCGCTGATGGACGCCTCCAGGTCGAGGTAGCTACCCAGCTCCCCGTCTTTGTACACCTGCATGGTGGCGTCCGACAGCTGCAAAGGCAGACGATAAGGCCGGTCAGCACACTCAAAGTCTGTCAGCGCACGCAAATGACAGAGCCCATCAGGGTGTCCCAGCCAATAGGGCCCGCCGTCGCAGGAAAGCGAGCGTCTTAGAACAGGCGGATATCATGGTGCACCAGCACACGCACATAACAGACAGCAGACAGCACAGCGTCCATCAGGACAGGCAGCCAAGGGCGCTCATCAGCCAGTCCACCAGCTGCATGGGCGGCGAGGCCGTTCATCCGCTGTCCCAACGGCCGCAGCAGAGATGGAAGGCTGCCAACACGGCGGCCAGCAGCATTCCCCAGCTCAGCCGATAGCTTGAGTCAGTCGCTGATAAAGTGCGCTTACAGCTATATTGTCAGCACTAGCCGGCGCGCACGACCTCTGTCCTCAGGCCATGAACAGTAGCTGGGTGACAAACCGGTAGGCTGTATCAAGAACTGACTTGCCTTATTAAGGCATTCGCCATTATACTTGTGCACCTTTTGAACGGCTGCCTGGAGTGGTCAACTTGAAATGGAAGAAAGCAGCCCCATGCCTGTTCTGAACAAACATCGGAGTGTAGCAGGGGTGTAGCTTCGTATTCAGTTGGCGTGGGGACTTTGCCTCCCCCCCCCCCCCCTAACTTGGGCCTCCCCTCCCCCTCCTAACTTAGGAAAGAAAATATGCAAAATCCATTGAGAAGCCTGGTTGTCGGCACATTTTGGGGGCAGATGGGTCATTTTTCACTGTAAGGCCTCCCAACACATTTAGCGAAACTACGCCCATGTGTTATAGGCCATATCTGTCCTTGTTTCGGAGGGCACTCTGCACTGCCGTCTATCGTACGACGTCGTCTGCATCAACCAACCGACCAACCAGCCAACCAACGGTTCAAGGTGAGCCGATCAGACGGCTGGCTGCCAAAGCGCGCCGACCGACGGTCATGCACACCAGCCACAATCTGGAGTGAGCTGATCGGTGGTAGGACAGACCAGCCACAATCTGGAGTGAGCTGGCCGACGGCCGGACAGACCAGCCACAATCTGGAGTGAGCTGACCGACGGCCGGACAGACCAGCCACAATCTGGAGTGAGCTGACCGACGGCCGGACAGGACCAGCCGCAATCTGAAGTGAGTTGACCGACGGCCGGACAGACCAGCCGCAATCTGGAGTGAGCTGACCGACGGCCGGACAGGCCAGCCACAATCTGGAGTGAGCTGACCGACGGTCGGACAGGCCAGCCGCAATCTGCAGTGAGCTGACCGACGGCCGGATAGACCAGCCGCAATCTGGAGTGAGTTGACCGACGGCCGGACAGACCAGCCACAATCTGGAGTGGGCTGACTGACGGTCGGACGGGCAGGTCAGCTACGCAGATATGTGATCTAGAGTGTGCGTTGAGAGCATGGTATTAGTCATCTGGCAAGAGCCTTTACACAGCCATGTCAAACAGTCTCCGGTTGATCTACCGGGGGCTGTTTATCTTGTATAAGCTCACGGACACACACCTGATTCAGTGACATGACATTGGACGCAGCCGGCACGGATCTCCGCGGGAGCCACCGTCTTGACGGACTGATGCCGGGAAAAGGACAACAGAGTTTGAGAGCGTGAAATATCTCAAGATCATTAAGTGAGAACCTTCACCTCAGGTGCACCTCAACACCATTGTTAACCAGCTGCTTCCCGGGCAGTTGGCGCAACGCGAACAGATTTAAGTCATGTGCAACCGGTATACCATCTTTTAATTCAAGACTTCTTGGGCTCAGCTAGCTCAAGATCTCAAGGTTAAGACCGTATCCATCTACATATTACGTCATCCTTCTCACAACGTCTGATGTGCATCGCGCTGACGCGACCGTTGAGTGCGCCCACGCCTGTCACGCCCGTCAGTAAAGCCCACTAACCACAAGAAACAGTCCGCATGATGAGGATCTGGGGGGCAGGCGCTCATCAAAACTCCTCAACAGCGGCGTGTTTGTTGGCCATTTCACGGCGCATGGGCCGGTATCGACAATGCCTGACAGCCCCTCTCACAACAGGCGCCGCCCGCCGACCTCGAGGTCTATCTCGGCTCGGCTTCAGCGACTGTGCGGCACGTGAGTCGCATCGTCATGGTCCGGCGTCACGTGCACGCGCCCTAGGACCGGCCAGCGGCCAGCCCCGACGCCTCCAGACGTGTCCACACCTGTGGGCTGGGCAGCGGTTACCTCGGGCGCGCCGCTCCCCTGCAATCGAGGGCCAGGCGCGGAGCACCGATGGCGATTCCAACGGTCGGCCCGGACGAGCGCTGACGCTCGGGAGTGGCAGTGCATGAAGCCGGCCGCTAACATGGCCCTGCAGAGTGCCTCACTAGGCAAGCTCTGACAGCTCGGGAGTGGCAGTGCGTGAAGCCGGCGGCTAACATGGCCCTGCAGAGTGCCTCACTAGGCAAGCTCTGACAGCTCGGGAGTGGCAGTGCAGGAATCCGGCGGCTGACATGGCCCTACAGGGTGTCTCACTAGGCGAACGCTGACAGATCGGGAGTGGCAGCGTAGGAAGCTGGCGGCTGACATGGCCCTACAGAGTGCCTCTCCGGGCGAGCGCTGACAGCTCGGGAGTGGCAGTGCATGAAGCCAGCGGCTGGCATGGCCCTACAGAGTGCCTCACCGAGCGAGCGCTGACAGCTCGGGAGTGGCAGCGTAGGAAGCCGGCGCTGACATGGCCCTACAGAGTGCCTCACCGAGCGAGCGCTGACAGCTCGGGAGTGGCAGCGTAGGAAGCCGGCGGCTGACATGGCCCTACAGAGTGCCTCACTAGGCGAGCGCTGACAGCCCAGGCGTGGCAGCATAGGGAGCCGACGGCTAACATGGCACTACAGAGTGCCTCGCCGGGCGAGCGCTGACGCTCGGGAGCGGCAGTGTATGAAGCCGGCGGCTGACATGGCCCTACAGGACTGGCGGTACTCCCCGACTGCTGTGGCTGGACATCCCGTGCGCTCGCCACCGCCGACAGCTCGGCGGATCCGCGCCGTCCCAGCGCACCGAGGCGGGAGCCCAGCGCTGCAGCGCTGAGCGCCGGCCCACACGGATGCCGCAGGGCCGGTGATGACGAGCGGTTGGGACGGGGTGTACGCGGTATACGCGGCGTTTTAGACGCCAAAGCAGCGCACTTGTCAACGCAGCAACACAGGCGTGACCGTGGACAGGTGTTCGGCCAATTCATCGCGCCACACAATCCTCATTCTTATCGCGCCCCCCGCTCCTCTCCTGCGAAGGACCACCGCGAAGCATGCGTCCGGATGAGGGCGACCTCGAGGCCGGGTCAAGACCGGGGATCGATCGCGCCCCGTCACCCCTGCACTCGGCAAGCTCACACAAAAACCGGGCCGGCGCCGCGAGGCCGCCGTTTCGAGGTGAAGGGCGCGACCGGCACTGGTGTCGCTCTGCTCTGCTCTGCTCTGTTCTGTTCTGTATGTGCAGTGCGCAGCAGTGCGCGGCGTGTTTTTGCTGGTCGGGTCGGGTCAGCGACAGACTGGCGGCCGCTCCTGCCCACCGTCGGCCGGCAACACCCCGGGTACAGGCGCGGCCGGGGCTCCAGCTGATAACGGACGATTGGGAGGGAACCACCGCCGCCCAGATCGTACGAGCGCTGGGTTGGACTGCTACATGAGCCACCAGAGCGGTCGGATCCGTTGCCGACAGGTTGAAATGAGAGAGAGAGGGCTCCGGAAAGGAGACAGAACGGGTTACGGGAGGACCAGCCGCAATTGCACGGATGAAGGATCAGAGACATCTGGCTCGGAGGGCAAGGAAATGAATGAGCGTATTGCTCAGTGCACCAGAGCATTCGTTTGCCGTCCTCCGCCGACGATTCCAGAAATTACACTGATTTATTGATGAGTACCACCTACGCCCTGCCTGTTCGCTACAGGCACAAAGTGCCAACCTAATCTTCTGTGACGACGGGAGTTTTACTTTGGGCGCGTTTCGACGGCAGCGATCATTTGCGTTCATCGCTTACACAACATCGCCTAATCCTCTGGTGGTTCGTTAACGTTACGCATGGGCCGGTATCTCGTTAGGCGTTTTCAAGCCGCTCCCCATAGCGCGAGTGGTCTAGAGTGGAGGATTCAGAGCACTTGGGGATTCGTATCTCAAGGGTGTGTGAGTTGGGATTCAGATTCGGAGATGAAGAGGTTGAGATAGATTCGAATTTTTGCATTGAATTTTCACGCTAACGCGATGTAGTAATGAGTCGAGCAAGTCAATCATTCCGATGCGGTATTGACATAGGCGTGTCGCATTTGGTCTATCTGAAAGGAATGTGAGCCCAAATAACATATCAGCCATTTAGTTGCGAAGATTTATTTTCAGTATTCGACGTAGTTTTTAGAAATCGAGTCCTACATTTCGGGGGCTCAAATCTCCGCCCTTGGGGTTCTGGGATTCGAAGGTTACAATTCGTTCAAACCGATTCGAGTTCTGGGAATCCCAGTCCCCAACTCAAACGTCGTCCCTCAATGCAAGGTCTCTCAATAAGGCACGAGAACATGCTGAGCAAAGGGTTATCAAACTAGCATTCCGAAAGTGTTCATTACCTTTTTACGTATTTTATGACGGAAGCAATGGTACGTATTCCCCAACTATGCCCGGCATGCAGACATCGTCTGCACACCTCTGGCACTCCTCACAGGATTACGGACGAGGGCGGTACGTCAACTGGACATTTCCATCCCGTCAGCACCTGTGGCGACCATGCCGCCGGCGGGGCAGGCGGCCAAGCGGCACCAGGTGGCGGCCAGGGCTCACCCGGAGCCCACCTGCACCGGAAGTGCGTCTCGCACGCCGCCGGCCACCCGGCCGCCGGCCAACCCGGCTCCGGCCACCCTGGCTCCGGACACCGCGGCTCCGGCCACCCCGGCTCCGGCAACTGCGGCTCCGGCCACCCCGACATCGCACGCTGGGTCAGCCGGTGGAGCGGCGCTCCAGCTTGCCGGGAGCTGGCACGGCACAAGGTTTTCGGGTCAGCAGACATACGAACGGCGGCCGCAGCGCGCGCAACCGGGTCACCGTCGCGGGCGGCGGCGCGGCGGCGGCAGGTCACTGAACGCGGCGCCGCCGTGCCGGGGTATCGAGTGAGGGCTCACCGCCGCCCGGCCGGCCGCATCAAACGGACCGGACCGGCGGGTTCGGCCAGGCTGACCGCCCGCTGCGACGGCCTGGGAGAGGACTGGCTCGCCACCGCGGCGCGGCGAGGGCACGGGGAGACGGATCGGCTGTTGTCAGATACAGGCCGACGCTGGGCCCGGAAACCGGGCGGCCCCTGTCAGGGAGGGGACAAGACTACCCACCGTCCGGGCACGCGCGACAGCACAGGGTTCATAAACCGGTTAGGTGAGCGTTTTTTACGTAAAAGCGAGATCAGAGTGGAGCGCAAGGTGTCCACGGGAAACAAAGACAAAATATATTGCCTAATGTGATGGCGCCGTCCTTGTGTCCATCAGGGCATAATGTGCCAGGCGATCAAGACAAGCCATATGACCAGGTAATGGAAGCATGCAAATATAGCTGAACTGATGTATGGATTGGGACGTAGGGGATCCAGCACCTGTCCTTGGCTTCGGCTATACCATGAATCATGGGTGCCGGTTATATCAGTGGGTCCGGGATGGTTCAGCAGTCAAGTGCCCGGCTTGCATCAGCACACAGAGTGGCTGGGCAAGGTCGGCTGCTGATGCACACACGGTCGCCGGGTCCCACCGCGGCCTTGTCTCCCCCTCTGGAGCGCTGATCGGGGTCTTGTCTGGGCTTAGCCACATAGGACTTCCGACGGCCCTCGTGTGACGCCGACACGGGGCATCTAACGGGCGTTTGGTCAGCTGCGGGGCCATACAGAGCTATGGGCGGCGAGCCGGAGCTCAGCTGCGGGCCCATACAGGGCTATGGACGGCGAGCCGGAGCTGCCAGCGCGGCAGTCGCAGGCGCCCGGCCGGCCAGCCGTGACGCGCTGCCGCGACTGCACATCGCCTGACTCGCCCGGCAGACCACCGAGCTAATGAAATGCGGGCGGCGATGCCAGAGCCTGGGCCAGTGTCGGGTGCAGTACAGCCCGCTCGAAAACACTGCACTCGTCCAGCGCCAGACCCTACCTGGAAATCGCACGCGAGGATCACCCCACGACGCCTGGTGGCGCGCCCTTGAACCCCACCCGGAAGGCGCGATATCTATACAATGACAAGATATGATACGGCTGGGGACACGTGCATGGAGGATCAAACCGTTGAGGTCCCTGATAACAGAAGCTGGCACATGCGCGATAAGCCACAGGCTCGAGCGGTGTGCCGGCACCGAGACACGCGTGGCTTTTAACCAGTTCTCCTCTCCTGCAGCATGAACGAGTAGTATTTCACAACTGCACTGACTGCGACAGTTCCTGTGGCTCTGACAGCATGCAGCTGGAATATAAGCATAGGTGCAGTTCGGTGAGCGGCGAAATCGTGAGGGCGACTACAGTCTAGAGAGCTCGTAAGGACGACTACAGTCTAGTGAGCTCGTAAGGACGACTACAGTCTAGTGAGCTCGTAAGGACGACTACAGTCTAGTGAGCTCGTAAGGGCGACCACAGTCTAGAGAGCTCGTAAGGACGACTACAGTCTAGTGAGCTCGTAAGGACGACTACAGTCTAGTGAGCTCGTAAGGGTGACTACAGTCTAGAGAGGTCGTAGGGACGACTACAGCCTAGTGAGCTCGTAAGGACGACCACAGTCTAGTGAGCTCGTAAGGACGACTACAGCCTAGTGAGCTCGTAAGGACGACTACAGCCTAGTGAGCTCGTAAGGACGACTACAGTCTAGCGAGATCGTGGGAGCGACTACAGTCTACAAGGCCGTGAAAACCTGAACTGTTTCCGAACGGGCTATCCAGATCTCCGTGGCGAGTCTCTGCGTCCTTGATCCGCACTCAACCACGCGAGCCACCCCTGACCTCTCAGGCTGTGACCTGGCGTGACCTCTGGGCGGCTGGTGGCGCCCGCGTGTCGGAGTCCAGTCGGACATGCCGGAGCTGCGGCTGGCCGGGCGGCCATGAGGGCGGGAGTTGTTTGATGATAGACACGCGAGCCAGTCGGTCACCCCCCCCCCCTTCCGCCCCTCCCCCCGGCGGGATTTTCCGGTAGGCAGGTGACTGCAAGCGCGTGAGCGCCCACGTCATTACGACGCAGTGGGAGGGCGTCCACGAAAGAGCTAAGGGTCCCACTTCAGCCATGATTTGTGGTTGCAACGCGAGACCCAGCTCCCTCGCAACGAAACTGAATTCGCAAATTTTGCGTCTCATGACTTCTGTGATGGCATGCGCTGTATTTTGCGTGCTATGACTGGAGTGGCTGCATAAAACAGTCGCTCGCCCACACACAGGCACAAATTTCGTGCAGTCTGTGATGCTGTCTACCGCCGTGCAGATGTTGACACAGGCGCTGCCTCAACGGCGGAGTTCGCATAGCTGGGCTGACCGATCTCCAACCAGCCCTGGCCAGCTGATTGCCGTACCTTGCACGGCGTATCATTTGGCAGCGCTGCCCGGGCTACTGGCTGTTTATTTTCACATGGAGTGTCTGCGCCACTGGGGCTGACCTGCTGGCCGGGCGCGGGCCGCTCCGCAGGTGGCGGCGGCACGTCAGCGGCCCCGTCCAGCCTCACGCCGACCGTAATGATTAACGGTGTTGAAACAAAGCCGCAAGATCCTGCATTCTGTGCACCGTTGGTGGCAATGGGTAGCAACCGATCGGCACGAACTACGCCATGAGGAACTGGTTAAAATAGGAAATGTCACATTCTCTTTGAATCGGAAACAACTCGAAGCTGTGTCTTTCGGTTCTGACTTGACTAGCTCCTACTTTACCAGTTGTCATGATAGATATATAAGAGACCGATCACCCGCACTACTTGTGATGAACACTGACCGCTTGGACCAGCTGAGGCGGAGGGCAGCAGTGTCGGCTGCCTACGGACACTTCGGTTGCCCTCCCAGCCAGCGTGCCAGGCTGACGCCAGGCATGACCTGGTGTGTGTGCTGCTGACTATCGTATGGCGAGGACCATTAGCGACCGCATGCGAATGTAAACGACGCCGCCGGAAGCGATGATCTCAAGCGTTCAGCAGACTTTCAGCCGTTCCTGAACAGGACATGGCGCCAGTGTCATTACGCGGTACCTGGTATAGGCGAACGCTTCTGGACAAAGCAACACAACTGCATGCTTGTTCACAGAAGAAGCCAGGGTGCACAAGAAGTCGCTGAACGATGACAGGAGTTGTGTAAAATTTTACCGATGAGTTTTGCTTTGTGAATGTACTGAGCCCGTGTACAGCAAAAGGGCCATTTTACCCAACCATCACGGAGGCGCTGGCTAGGAAATCCACGCAATCCAATTAGGAAGAGATATTGAAATACATGTAAGTGTAAATATGCGATACAGCGCATGCCGGAAACCTAGAGCTATCACCCCAGACATTTCAGAATTGTTTCGAGCGGAATCGGGTCCAGAGCGCATGGCTGGTGAATAAGACGTAGATCACACTGTCTAAAACCTCCAAATACGACTGCAGTGTAAAACAGTCCCGTTAAATGTGATAGGAGCCATGGGTGTGCTGATACGCATTCCTGGTCAGCCTTTTGCCATAGCTATCGTACTTGTTAGTCTTCGATCGCCCCAACTTCAAGTCGTGCCTCCCCTAGTGCGAGTTCGTGTAGGGGAGGGGTCTGGGACCTTCAGGCAGCCGTGGCCGGTGTTCAGTGGAGAGCCATGCCCACGCTGCGCTCTCTGTCCAGCCTGCGCTCCCTGCCCGGCCTCCGCTCCCTGCCCAGCCTGCGCTCCCTGCCTGGGCTGCGCCCCCTGCGTGGGCTGCGCTCCCTGCCCAGCCCGCACTCTGCCTGGGCTGCGCTCCCTCCCTGGCTGCGCCCCACATCCGGCAGGCTAGTGCACCCACGAGAAGCCAATAGCCAACCCTCCGTCGCGGGCCCACATAATCCACAGCGGGAGGTCGAGCCGCCGATCAGACCGGCCTGCAGCCGACCTTTCCATCTGATCACCTGTGCCCGATAATGCTCCTGACCACCGGAATCTGGAGCCAGAAATTATCCCGATAACGAACCGGACCACCTGCACGTACTTAGACAAGAGTCTGGCCACTTCAGCACACCTAGACCAGCACGTACTTAGACCAGAGCCTCGCAATCTAAGTATATCTAGGCCGTACGTACTTAGACCAGAGCCTGGCCACTTAAGTACACCTAGACCGCACGTACTTAGACCAGAGCCTCGCAATCTAAGTATATCTAGGCCGTACGTACTTAGACCAGAGCCTGGCCACCTCAGCACACCTAGACCAGCACGTACTTAGACCAGAGCCTCGCAATCTAAGTATATCTAGGCCGTACGTACTTAGACCAGAGCCTGGCCACCTAAGTACACCTAGACCGCACGTACTTAGACCAGAGCCTCGCAATCTAAGTATATCTAGGCCGTACGTACTTAGACCAGAGCCTGGCCACCTCAGCACACCTAGACCAACGAGTAACCGCCCAGAGCCTAGACCACCTAGCCCACCCAGCCGACCTAGCGACACGGCACAGGGCGGCCCGCCCTGAGGCCTGACCGGAGGCCAGTGAGGCCCCTGACCCTGTGACCAGCTGCAGGGCCAGCCGCTCACCTTCTGCGGCGCCTCCAGCTTCCGGTGCACGCCCGGCAGCTGGCTGACCAGCGGCAGCCGAGTGTTGAACACGTACGAAGGCGGGCGCACCGGCTCCAGGCCGGCGCAGCCGCCGAACGGGTCCACGTCGTGCAGATACTGGATGCGACATGTCACGTAGCTGATCTTCATGGTGACGACGGAGAGCGCGGACGGGGTCGGCTCGGGTCAGGTCAGACCAGGTAGGCCACAGAGGCTGGGACTGCAGTCGTCTCAGCAGCCGCAGGTCCGTTCAGTGCGTGAGCTTCGGCGGCACAGTAGCCGGGGCCGGTCCAGCCTGCTCCAGAAGCTGTGACTGAACCGAGTCCAACCGGCCCGCAGCAGCAGTGACTGCGATCAGTGCCGCCTCCCCCGGGTGCACATGTCTTCAGACGACAGCGCCGAGCCGGCAGGTCCGTCCGCCTCACGAGGAAGCCGTAGGCCACCCCACCCCGCGCCCGCGCCAGGTGGCAACTGACACTTGGCAGCGCCGAGCCCACGGCGAGACGGTGGACCGGGCATGCGCGCTGCACACGGCGGCGGCGGCGGCGGCGGCGCGGTGGGCGCGGCGCTGACAACAGCCAGGTGAGTCGCAACGGCTCGCTGTTGCTTCAGCTGACCGATGTGACGTGATATCAAGATACGGCGGGTGACGTCACAGAGGGGAGTTCCAGGAGCGCGGGGGATTAGAGGCTACTACAGAGTAGCGGGCCAGCCCAACGCTGAAGTCAGACCACCTTCTCATCTGTGTTAGCCTTTGTCTCCGTCGTCTGGGCTGGTTCCTACCGCAATCCCTCAGAAGCTTCCCCACTCTCCTCAGAGCCCGCCTGCACGCACCTGGTACCCACGCTGTTTGATGACGGCGGGCAAGGCTGGGTCTTCCGGGCAAGGACCATGAATCAGCCTCGCTGGTAAGCTCGGCGGCGCAATAGCGGACGGTTAACAGCGGAGCCGGCAAGTAAAAGTTCCCGGCGCAAAGCCCAGCTGAGGTGGGCTGGAGCCGAGTAGATTAGTAGCTTCGTGACGAGTGACAAACTCTCTCACTCAACAGCGCATGTTTGTGAAAATAAACGAGTAACAGTGATCCGCTCGCGTACCGACGAATGATCACAATATCCCCCACGCGACTCAATTCCCGCCTAAAAGTCCACATCTAGCGCGATCGAGGACGAGGCAGTTGTGGACGCTGTGCACTGACCGCGCGCCCCTCCCCCCCCCCCCCCCCCCCCCCCCAGCCGCGGGGCAGGAAGAGGAGGGTGGCCGTGACGACGGCACGGCTCGGGTGCGGACGTGGCGCGGGGCCACCAGCCATCCGAGGCGAGGGCATGGCTCGTGAGGGGCCGGGCGCAGCGCCACCGGCGGCCGGCCGTCTGCCCGGTGGCAGGTCACCCAGCGTGACAAGCACCGCCACTGACACGTCCGGCGGCACGCGGCCACTGCCGGAGCCCGCTTGTTATCCGGGACAACGCGTGCACAGCGGCGATGGGGCTTGGCTGTGCAGTCACTGCGCAATGAACCATGTTGCATGAGCAACGTGCAATGTGCCGCCGTATTTTAGTGAATGTTTGTGGGAAATTTGCCACGATTTGACATCGAACGAAATCAAAAATAAAAGTAGCCGACGTTTTTTTTTACTATGATGGGTATCAAAGATGTTTCAGACGGTTGCTATCTACACAGCGTTGCACTAAGCACCCGCGTAGCCTCATAGACTAATATCCAACGTTTTAAGCCACAGCGCACCGCATTCGACGCTTTTTTTGTTAAGACGACACTGCAAGTTTTTCGCGCGACCATGGGCGCGAAAAACTTCTTTGTTTGGTTCAGAATCTGAATGAACAAAACAAAATGGCCTGCAAAAATCTTAATCCGATTTAGTTTGAAAGAGTGCTGCGCATTCAAGTCATTATCCGGCTCCCATAGTCAAAACCAGCTCAAATCGCGCCATGGCAAATCAGCCACCATGTCTGCATGGCGGTGCCATCATGGCGACACCGTCTTGGTGGTGCCATCATAGTGATGCCATCATTGTCTGCAGAGATTTAAGACGGTCAAAAGCGTGACTGGTCTGGCCGGGACAGGTCGGGCCGGCCGTTAAAACGGCAATATTCTCAACAAAGGCAAGCTCGTTAAAACGAAGTTGTTGGAACAAGACGTTATTACGACACTGACGATAAAACGGTCCAGACCAGCGGTCTCCCTCGCGATCCTCCTGAGCTCAGGGTAAGGTGCAGGAGATTTGTATGCCTTGCACGATAATGGTTAACGGAAATGTAAACATCACCGTACAAACGGACCTAGACCCTTCTGAAATTAAACAATAGAAGGGTTTAAGTCTCCCGCGGGCTTCCCGGACCAGTTCTTTAAACGCAACATCACACGAAGAGCAACAGCGTACATCATCTTTTGTCACAAATGGATGGAGGAACATAGCTGTCATAACAACATCTTGAGTCATCCATCTGTAAGTGGATTACCCAATATAGCGCTTTGGTCATAGATCGATCACGCTGCTACCTTTCGATAGCTCTCATCTCAGGCCACGCGAACTATGTCATACACTGTTGACATAGCCACGTAGGTATTTACGTTTCGAATAGTTCTTGCGCACAAATAGCAACGCAAACTCATGACAGAGGCAACGTGGTGACGCATTCGAACGAAAGATTAAACAGCCCTCGGCGATAACCGACGACGATCCATAACGAAATGTTATCAACCTCGTCAGGCCGGCAACGCGGTGTTGATAACCATCTAACGCTGCGACGCGCATACATAAGTCGGAGTTTTGTTCGCGTGCTGGTGATGCTAATGGACATAAGACCCGGGTCGCGCACCTACGTCAGGCTCAGACCATCGCACGCACACGCAGAGAAAGCGGCTAACTCTCCTGCATCACCGCCGTGTCCCCTTCACCCATACTTCACCGCTCGCAGTATGCAGCAGCGAATGACAAGATTCGCTCTCGCTCTGCAAGTCGGAGCCATCCCGTGCAGAGTGACCGAAGCGATGCACCGTGGCACGGTCGGAGCTTGCGACAAATGGAAACGAGAGTGAGTGGTCCTGTGTCAAAGATCAAACGTCACTCGCGATTGAGTCAGCATCGGTAACAGAGTATTCACGGCGAAGAGCGGGGGTGCATACGTTACTGTCGAAGTGATCGGTCGACGCAGCCTTGGCACGGATGCAGACGGCGTGTGGCGCGGTGAGCACCTCTGCACAGCGCCTGCTCGTCCAGCGGGTGAGCGGAGAAGAGCAACGTCCAGAGGCCGTGGCCGGCTCGGCGCGGGATAGAGCGGTCTGCTCGTCCAGCGCCGTCCAGAGACCGCGGCTGACTGTGCCCAGGACAGAACAGCCAGCTCGTCCAGCGGATGCACAGAGAAGAGCGCCGTCCAGAGACCGTGGCTGGCTCGACGCCGGACAGAGCAGCCTGCTCGCCCAGCGCCGTCCAGAGGTCGTGGCTGGCTGGCCGGACAAAACGGTCTGCTCGTGCGCAGCTGTCTTCGATAATGAGCATGATGCAGGAAGGCTTGGTGATAAGATTAATGCAAAAGTGGCACGCGGCGACCGCACGTCGCTGGGGAACGGATGCGCGGCACACTGACACTGCGCTGGCACCGTCTATAAGGGACAAAGCATCCCGCTTTTGTGTCCAACTGCAACGTGTCCAACGGAGTATTGCAGAATGCATCAATAAGGTCAGTGCCGGCGTGCATTTGTCGTCCTGGTAGTGCAGTGGCTTAAGTGCCGGTGTCGGCACGCTGCAGGTAACAGACGCAGAGGGTTCGAGGCTCACCAGCCGCGCGTGTTCGAATCGCCCCTCGGCTTTGCATGCCCCGACAAGGAGGAGGATCTTGACCACCTAGTGGCTATGTTGTGACGGGGCCTGGCACGTTAAAACCACCAATACTGCAGCCGGATACTTACACTACATACGGAGTGTTCTAATACCTTCACCACGTGAGCAAACGATTCACGCAATTAACTAATCAGACCACGTCACATGGTGCGCTAAGGAACATCTTAGCAAGCTACTTATTTCCATGCCAATGAGAACAGACACGAGCCAATTGCACGCCCCCCCCCCCCCGCAACGTATGACGCGACCGTAGCATAGTTCTTGTTTTCTTCGCGCCACTGTTCTGCTAGCCTGACCCTGGATAACGTGCACGGTTGTAAACGGTATCTGGTATACTTATTAAGCAAAATGAATTTAGATCAAACGAGGGACATGCTTTGGAACCCGTATGGTGACCCATTGATCGCACTTTCCGATGCGAGGCTTGTGCAAGAGTGTTTGTGATGGTGTGTGAATGTGTGCGCGCGCGCGAGCGTGTGTGTGTGTGTAATGCTCGATAATGCCATCAACTTTATTTGACTGACCTTTTGCGTGCAGATGTCTGCTGCTGGTGTAGCGTCTGTGTTGCCGCTCTCTCTGTAAATGAGTATCCATTTGTGAGATGACGCACAGCAGTGAAGCTTCACCACAGCGTCATAAAAGACGCCAACCAGGTACCATGTCGTTAGCAGCCAGCATGGGGGGCGGGGCGGGGGCGCATTGCAGTCATTCTTTAAACTGCGGCAAACGAGCATGAAGTCGGTGATACCCAAAGCTTTGCAATTCTATTAAGTCCATATAAACTTTTCTGCTTGCATCCCTTGTTTTATCTCACCGTTTAAATTTGGATACTGTCATTTGTAGTGTTCATAGTTTTTGGTGATGAAAATAAGTCATGATTGTTGTCCTTCCCAGCTACATTCTTAACTTTCGTTTGTGTTTCACTGAAAAAATGAGACAATATTTGTAAATACATGAGTCATTCCTCGTGGTTTCACTTGATAGCTTCGTTTGTATCTTGAGGTGCGCTGTTATTGGTTTATAAGTTATTAAGCACATCCAGTAGCAAGCAGAATTAAGGCCAGGTCCCAAGGAGTATGCTCATATAGTTTTGCTCCTGAGAACGGCAACAGTATGGATGAGCGCGAAACCTGACATCACCAGAAAGGGTCCAACTAGGTTAGATGTGTATTAGATTTCAACGTTGTCATCAACGCACAGTAGACTCAAACTGCTACGCAAAAATAAAACTAGCCTCCGACCGACCAGTTTCAACCGCAAATCATTTTTACTTCTAACCAAATGCCTATAGACTAGTGTGCAAGGCGTCGCTGACCTGTTGCTTGACCCATGGACAGCGGCGGCCGACGAGTCTTCCTGGCACCCTTCTGACGGCTCCTCGGATTCCGAGCTGGTGCTGCCCTCTGAGCTGGAGCTGGAGCTGGTGCTGCCATCTGCAGAACCGGGACGACCGGTCTCCGCGGCGCCTGGCTCGCCTAGTGAGCGGAAATGCACGTCAGAACTGGTGCCAAGACGCCCAGCTGTCAAACACACATGTGGGAAGACACGTGCACGGCAGCCCAGCGGGCCCGCCGCATGCCACTCATCCTGCTGTACGTGCAGCATACCAGCGGGTAAAGGCCGATGTCAAATCATGGCCATACGTCCGGTCAGCGAGGGGAAAATATCGTCAGTCTTCGGTGTTTACCTGAAAACTGGGACCTTGGTGCGGCTGAAAATCGTCAAGTTGAAAGGGTGAGAAAAAGCTTTCTCGAAAGTCGCTTTAATTTTACGCTTTAATAGCAGCGCTAGCATGTTGAGCGAGATACAGACAACACCAATGCAGCAAGCCGTCATCGACAATTACGGTGTGTTACATTGACAATTACATTGGAATACGCTCCTATGAAACCAAACAAACCGTGCCACTACCAAAGACATGCTATCAAAACATCATCCAAACTCTCAGCTGAGCTCAACAAGCCCGGAATCCTCCATACGGCAGACGTCGCTGCGAAAGCCCACAGACCTGCCAGTTTCCGCTCGGTCGTGGCTAGGGCTGGGGCTGGGACTGGGCGCTGTTCTGCACACCGCTCCGGAGACAGGGCGCCCAGGACCTCGTCAATATTGGTCAGCTGGCCTACGGGACAAGCCGTGCACCGGCCGTCAAAGGCTGCAGGGTGGGGGACATCCGCGGACGGCATGCGGCTCGGTGACGTCTGCGGCACGGGTCAGCCACGTTCCAGTCGCCGGCGTTTCGGTCCGTTGAGAAACACTCGCAATCGCCGCCACGGCTAGGCTGGGTATCAGGCACGACGAAAACACTGCGGTGACCCTGCCACGCTGAAGGTGTTCGTTTCGCCCGCGGGTATCAACATACGCAACACGAACAGTGGTATTCAGTTACAGGATGCGGAGACGTCGCAGCGACAAAAACGTTAGCAGCGCTAGCGTTACGCAACTGAAACCGGGTTTTATGGCATGGCCACAGCAAACGTCTGGTGGTAGCGGTTGGTGCGATGACGGCAGGCTTCTCTCGAGTGACGGGCTCAAAAAACAGGTAAGCTTGGAGGCACACACTCCTCCCACCGTCGGTAAACATACAGGGTTATGATCATACAGCATTGGAGGAAATGCCAACGAGCATTTTCGCCCGAATACCCTACCACCACCATCATTTATTGCTTGTTGCTGGCTTCCTCACGCCACATCGACATGCTATGTCAACTTTTGGTGGTTTTGTTGCAATGCCAACCGCCAGCATGGCAGTAAACAGGATTACTTTTCCTTAAAACCACACTATTTTCGCTCTACAATGGACTTCCGAATCCAGGCCTATATTGTAAAGGTAGCAATAAGGCAAAGAGATGCAGGCCCGGAAAAGCCACCATCTGACACTCACCGATGAAGAGGGAGAGGTTACGTTTGGCCGCGAGCCGCTCCTCCTCGCTGTGCGCCGGGCCGCCGGCCGAGCTTGGCTCCTCGACCGCCTCGCTGCCGGCCAGCGTCCGCTCAAACTCCTCGAACGAGTCTGGCCGCGCCTCGCCGCGCAGCAGCGCGTCAATGTCCTGACACTGACCGATGAAGCTGACGCGGTCGGGCGAGCCGCGCTCGCCGGTGCCGTAGCCGGAGTCGCGCTGGCATGGCTGGAACACGAAGTCGGACGCCAGCACGGCGTCACCGAGCGCCGCGGCCGCGGACGAGCCCGGCGACGAGCCGGGCTCGTCGTCGCTGGCGGCGGAGCGCACCATCGACGGCGAGAAGCGGAGGCGGGGGTCGGAGCCGGCGGCGCCGTCGCCGGCCGCCGCCTCGTCGCTGCTCTCCTCCGAACCCACTTCCTGGTGCACGGACGAGCCCGACTCGGAGCTCGAGCTCTCCGTCTCCGTGGACGAGCTGACCGACGTCGACGGGCCGGGCGCAGCGGCGGACGAGCCGGCGGCCCGCTCGCCCACCGGCGGAGAATCAGTGCTGGTGTCTTCGTCGTCGTCCTCGTCGTAGAGGCCCAGCATCTCACGCGCTGTTCTGAAGCGGACCGGACTGACCACCCGCGGCGGCGGCGACTTTGGCTGCTCCTCGATGGCGTCCTCCCACCAGGCGCGCGGCTCCGACAGGTTGCGCCGCACGGGGAACGCCTGAAAGCGCGCCTCGAGCTCGGGTTCGTCCTGTGGCGGCTCGGCGTGCTGTGGCGCAGACTCGTTGAACTTGTTCTCGTCCACGTCCCACCAGACGGACGAGCTGGAGTCGCAGGGACGCGGCACGAACGCCGGCGGCCGATCCGGCGCCGCGCCCGGGAGCGGCTCGCCGCCGAGACGGTCATTAGGCGACGTCAGTTCGCCACCGCTGGTCCGACCGTGGCCGTTCTGCTGCGTGGCGCTCTGTTCTGTGGGGCTGGGCAGTGGGACTTCCTTGTTTTCGTCGCCGCTCTCCGCCCACCACGGTTTCGGTTCGGAATCAAACCTCCTGATCGGGTACAGCGGCGCCGTCCTGCGCTCAGCCGGACTGGCCTCGAACGTCCAGAAGGAGCCCTCCTCCGCCTGCGACGACCTGCCTGAGCTGGGTCCATCACGAGAGCTGAGCGGCGACGCCCTCCTGTCGACCGGCGCCTCCGCCGAGACCTGCGGACGGCTGTCCGATCCCGTACCCCGTGCCGGCCTCCCCAGGTCCTCTTTCGACCTCCTGACGTCGTTGGAGGATCGCTTCTTTCTGAGGCGCCGGTTGACGGACGTGGACGAGGTAAGCGCGGTGTCCGACTCGCTGGAAGAGCTGGAGGACGACGCGCGAGCCACGCTGCGACGCGACGATTCCCTGGAGAGCGCGTGCCGCGAGCCACCGCTCCTGACCGAGAGAAGCTCCTGTCGGCGCGCCGACTCACTGCGAGCCGGGCCGCCGCTCGCTGACGCCCGAGACGGCACTCGGGACGGCGCCCGGTCCTGTCGGCTGGAGCTGTCGCTGCCCGAGGCCCCACCCCGCCTCGAGTGCGGACTTCGGGCGGCCGCGGCGCCGCGTGACTCGTCCGTGCTGCTGCTGCCCGTGGCGCGCGTGCCACTGCCGCTGCTGCTGGAATCGCGCCGCGGCGCGAGGCCAGCGCGCTGCGGCGTGGCTGAGCGACGGGGACGGCGGACGCTGCGGGGCGGCGCCCGGCCGGCCCACGCCGGCCGCGCTCGGGCCGCGGCTCAGACGGCAGCCGCTGGGGCCGCGGGACAGCGGCGCGCGGCCGCCCACCGCCGGCTCGCCGTCGCTCTGCTCGCTGCCCCGCCGACTGCCACCAGAGGAGCTCCGACTCACGGCACGCGCTCCGCGTGCGGAGCTCCTCTGCCCAACCGCCGTCGCCGCCGCTTCGCCACCGTCACCGCACATGTTCATGGCTGACTTGCGGAACTGTTTGTTGCGCGGACGCGGCGGCAGCGGCGAGGACGGCACGGAAGCGCGCCGAGCGTCGGTGGGTGACGCCGGCCGGCTGCCAGCGCCGCCGCCCACCCTGGCCGGTTGCTGGTACGGTTTGGGCGCCGTCACCAGCAACCGGTCCAGGCCCTCCAGTGGCGACTTCGGAATTTTGCCCTGCGAGCTAGCCGCCTGGATCGTCGACACGTAGACCTGCTGCTTTGGTTCTGCCGCCGCCGTCCGCGTCGCGTCCACGTCCGTCGCCTCCTCGCGTTTGGTCCGAGCTCTCTCCAGGTCGGCGGCAGTCTCTGGCGACATGGCGTACACTGCGGTCGGTTTCTCGCGGACGAGGTACTTCTTGTGCGACTCGAAGTCGAAGTCGGCAGGCGGAGGCAGCGACACGTTCGTCTTGGCCGCCATCTTGGCGTAGCCGGGCGAGTAGCCGCTGGTGAGGAAGCGGAGCGGCCGCTGCGCCGGCTGGCCGGCCGCCTCCGGCGCCGCCGCAGGCTCGGCGGCCGCCGCCGGCTTTGGGGACTCCTCCGACTCCTCTGAGCTGGACTCCTCGGAGGACGACACGGAGGACGAGGAGGACGACCGGCGGGCGGGAGCGGCGGGCGGGGGCTTGGTCGGGGCGGACGGGGGCGGGAGGACGGAGCCCACAGGTCTGGATGCCGCCCGGGATATCGGCGAAGTGACCTGAGGCGCGACCGACGCTCGCATCTGCGGCGCCACTGCCGGCCTGGCCTGGGGCGACGTCGGCGACCTGCCTTGAGGCGACAACGGTGACCTGACCTGGGGCGTGACCGGCGGCCTGACCTGACTGGCGGCGGCTGACCTCGTGCCCGCCGCGGACACTCCCGTCAGCAGCGAGGTCGGCCGGCTTGGACGAGACGCGTCCGAGCCGGCCGCTGCCGGTGCCGCCCGCTGTGGCCCATCCGAGGCCTTCTTCTGGTAAGGCTCGCGCTCCGGTTCCCTGCCGATCGCCTTCAGGTACGCTGCGCGCGCCGCCAAGGCCGGCGGCGGGTTCCTGGTCACGCCCAGCCTGCTCCAGCGCTCACTCCCCTCCGTACCGGCGCCGCCACCGGCTCGTCCAGGTCGACTGGCGTTGCCGGCGTCGCCACCGTCGCCACCCCGGCCGGCCGCGGCATTCGGTTTGGCCTCCTCCCTTGCGAGGTCGTGGCGCGAGCCGAAGCGGCTCTGGTAGCCGGAGCCGGAGGAGGCGGCGAGGCGGGAGCCGAAGCGATCGGAGGCGCCGCCCGGGTCGGTCTCGCCGCGAGAGACTCGGGTCGAGTCGGCGCCGGCGGTCCGGGACGGCTCGCTCGACAGGCCGCCGCCGAACCGGTCTCGAGACTGCGACCTGCCCGAGAATCCGGGGCCAGCGCATTAGAGGAGCCCGGACGGAGCACGTGCAAGTACAGGTCAGGGATGCACAGCGGTGGCACGGAGACTTCAGGTCAGGGGTGCACAGCGGCGACGCAGAGACTACAGGTCGGGGTACACAGCGGTGGCACGGAGACTACAGGTCAGGGGTACACAGCGGTGGCACGGAGACTTCAGGTCAGGGGTACGCTGCGGTGGCACGGAGACTTCAGGTCAGGGGTACACAGCAGTGGCACGGAGACTTCAGGTAAGAGATACACAGCTGCGGCACAGAGACTACAGGTCAGGGGTACACAGCGGTGACACAGAGACTACAGGTCAGGGGTACGCTGCGGTGGCACGGAGACTTCAGGTCAGGGGTACACAGCAGTGGCACGGAGACTTCAGGTAAGAGATACACAGCTGCGGCACAGAGACTACAGGTCAGGGGTACACAGCGGTGACACAGAGACTACAGGTCAGGGATCGTCAGCCACGGTGCAGAGACTACAGGTCAGGAGTACACAGCGGCCGCACGGAGACTACAGGTCAGGAGTACACAGCGGCCGCACGGAGACTACAGGTCAGGAGTACACAGCGGCCGCACGGAGACTACAGGTCAGGAGTACGCAGCGGCCGCACGGAGACTACAGGTCAGGGGTACACAGCGGCCGCACGGAGACTACAGGTCAGGAATCTGCATCGACGGCGCAGAGGCCAAACCACGGAGAGCAGTCATTGTTCCTGAGCTGCAGTCAAGGGACCGGGATACCAGAAGCAGCTTAGTGCTGTTTTGTTTGGAATCAAGATACCAGAAGCAGCTTAGTGATATTTTGTTTGGAATCAAGATACCAGAAGCAGCTTAGTGATATTTTGTTTGGAATCAAGATACCAGAAGCAGCTTAGCGCTATTTTGTTAGGCATCGAGATCCCAGAACCTACTAAGTTCCGTCTTATTTGGTATTAATAGATAACTCACTTGACATAACTCGCACGCGGCCATGCAACCGCACAGGACAGAGGTAAAGCAAGAACAGGTCGGCTCCCCCGCCACACCAGCATTCACTGTGGTGATGTAACAGAAGTCCTGGCTGCACTTGAAGACCCGAAAATCGTCCAGTAGCACAATTCTGATCCCAGCACAAAAGTGGGTGTTTGGCGCCGTGGTCATCGAAAACGACAAAAAAAAAGAAAGCGGGGAGAAAAGCACAAGCAGACGTCCCACAACGCGCAGCAGATCGCAGAGGCTCGACTGCACATCTTCAGCAAGTCCTTGCGGCGGTTGGGTCAAGAGCCGGCAACACCAAGAGCACGGATCGCAGGGACTGGCCAGGAGCGACAGGAAATGGCTCCCATATAAAGCATCTGTCTACGACACGCAGTGGGAGACTGATTCCGCATTTTTTGCATCAAGACTTGCTCAGCTATGAGGCCAGTTTTCACTTCGACGAGCAAGTCAGCAGTCAAAACTACCGAGTTTGGTCCATTGAAAAGCCTTGATTGGTCTATTGAATGGTTATTGCCGAAGCCCCGTTACACAGTGCAAGATACACTGCATGGTTTACCACAAGCAGCTGGGGCCTACGCTGCTGTGCACAAGCACGAGCAGCCGGCTCGGTACTTGCCCGACGTGGCCCTTTCAGATTCTCCCTCTGCGGTCGCCTCAGGCCTGAGGTCAATAGGACAAGCCCCAGAGCCTTCAGCCAACTGAAGAAGGTCGCGGGCTTTGCAGTGCGCAGGGCGCGGTGCGACACGGTGCTATATAGACGAGAGTTGCTTGTGCTATAGACCTCAGGACTGAGGTCAACAGCGCAAACCCCAGAGCCCTCAGCCAACTGGAGAAGGTCGCGGAGTTTTAAGTGCGCAGGGCGCGGCGTGAAACACCCCCTACGGGTGTGGAAGCGGCGTCGCGCTGCTGCGTCTGGACCGCAGCGGCGGCCGTACGGAGCATGTGAACTGTAGCCTGTCAGAAGGCGGGTGACAGAAGGCGGAAGGCCCTCTGACGGACATGTCAGAAGGCGGATGGCATCCACCTTCTGACGGACATGTCATATGACGAAGGAAGGGTGCGGCTTGAACGCCGAATAGCGTCCCATCATTGGTGACGCCTGACGGACAGCAAGAATTTATCGGCTCATACAGAGAGCCAGGCCGCGGTAACTCATTATTTCATGAGGTGGTCGAGCTCACCACCACTACTCAGTAATGATTGAACCTCTAAATGCGCGACGCACGTTGCATAAGGAGCACTCCGCTCTGTTTAGCAGCATCCCCAGTTCTAAAAAAGTTGCAGAGTTCTACAACGCACCGCATTGAACAGCGAGAAACCTGCCGCGATATCCTTGCGAAGCGATCGGAAAAAGAACACGGAGAAACGGTATTCTTTTATGGCGCGTCCTCAGCTGCCGCGCGACACATGAAGGCGCGATGACAGAACACAACCCGGGCCGATTATAGCAGGATGGCAGCCCCACCACCATCTGTCACACCTGTTTCTGGCCGCCGACGGGGTCCGGGCCGCGGATGATGACGTCACGCTGGGGTCATATCTCGACCGGAAGCTGGAGCCGTAGCCCTGTAAGACAGCGGGCCGCGGTCGTGAGACGAACGTCACACGCACGCACACACGCACGCACACACACATGCACACACACACACACACACACACACACACACACACACACACACACACACACACACACACACACACACACACACACACACACACACACACACACACACACACACGAGTCGGAGCATTACGTGTCGCGAGCTAGCCTGCGAACGTCATGAGTGGATAATCTACGCGAACGTCTTGTGGATCGGCAGGTCAGTGGTCAGATGCCGCGAAGTCGAGGTGCTAGTGCTGTTTGGTCCAGTGACTATGGCTGAAACGCTCAGATCCTGCAGAATAAACGTTTTGTATCCGCAGTGGCAGGCTGCATGCATAACACATGGCTGAACAGTGTCATGTTCATGTCTCACGATCCAAACTCATTCCATTCATGCATCTCATTCCATTCCATTCATGGAGGTCCACAGCCAGCGTCACGCGTGCTTAAGGAAGCATGGCATCTTTGTCGGTCGGAGAAGTTCCGGACACTTGAAACCCCCTTTAAAGGTCCTTTTCATGAGGATAAGCTTCCGTCTGTTGTCTAAGTCAGTTCGCTTGGTCACATCCCACGAAACTATAGGCTCAAGACGGTACAGGTACTAGTTTTTGAGAATGTTAATGGCTGTACCATCGGCGCGTAGGGATCCTAGGGCATATCATCCACATGCATTTGAGGGTTTGACTGTCTGTAAAAAGATGCATCTTCCAGTTAGAGCCAACAGAGCTCATCGTAGCCGAGGACATAAGAGATTCTACGGAATCTCTCGCTGTTCCTCAGCACCGAGGACGGCCTTCCAGCCGTTAGAGTTGGCCGGGGCCAGCCTTCCAGCCGTTAGAGTTGGCCGAGGTCAGCCTTCAAGCCGCTCGCCCCGACCGATGTCGGCCCTCCAGCCGTTTGAGTTTTGACCGAGGCCTGTCTTCCAGCCGTTCGCCCCGACCGAGGCCGGCTCTCCAGCCGTTCGCGCCGACCAAGGCCGGCCCTCCAGCCGTTTGAGTTTTGACCGACCCCGGTCTTCCATCCGTTCAAGTCGACCAAGGCCGGCCTTCCAGCCGTTCGCGTCGACCAAGGCCGGCCCTCAGCCGTTCGCGCCGACCGAGGCCGGCCGTGTCTCGCTCTCCGCTGCGGCGCTCAAACGAACGTGAGGGCGACACGGAGCCGGCAGCGGCCGGCGCCGCTCGAACACCGGAGCCGGCGCTGCCGACGCCCGGCCGCCGGGTATTTTCGGCGCCGTCCGCGCCGCGGCCCGCATAGCTGACGGGCCCGCCGCCGTGCCCGGCGCCGGAAGCCGGACGCGGCCGCGAGGCCGGTGGCGGCGCGCGCCCCCGCCCGCGTACGACCGCTGCCGTAACGCGCCGCCGGATCCGTGCTAGGATGGCCTCGCGACGGACGCTTGGTTGCTCAGCTGTGCATGTGTTCTTTGGAACCAGCCAAAGTCCAGACAAACAATGATTCAAGGTTTGGGGCACCACGTGAACAGGCTTGGAGCCCGGGTATATAAAGGGCATATTTATATCAGGAATTTAGGCTAAAATAGCCATGCACGTTGACCTCATTGTAAGCGAGTCGGCAGCTACAAATCTCCGTCGCCCGGGGACCCATCTGTTTACGAACTATGAACCCAGTAGCCAGCAGCATTAGCCGCTGGTGACATATGAACCGACATTGGTGGATGGATCGGATGCCCACCGCCGCCGGCTGAGCTGTTCTGCAGGGGAGCAGGGATTAGTCCGGCGGCCCGTCGTCAGCTCGTGACTGGCGAGGTGCGGTCCAGCGGCCCGATGACGGCTCGTTTGAACGCCGCACAGTCGCCGTCAGTGTGACGCCAACACGTGGACCGCCCGCCGCTGATCGATAAGCCCCGGCCTGCCGTCATCAGGGGGAGGGGCGAGACGGAGACTGCCAGCTTCGTTATTGGCAGCTGAGGGCGGATGTGGGGCGGCCGACCGACTGCTGTGCGTACGCCGCCGGCGCGCGCGCCTGCTATGGCGGATCATTGGTCATGCTGCGACGGACTGCGAGAAAACGACGGAGTGTCCGGGTGATGAAATAGCCTAAAGACGTAAATGATGCATCGATAATCCGTGTTTTGTCGCGATAATATTGCTACCGTATGCTAAGCATGGCCCTCGCAGACGGAAAAGAGAGCACGCGAATACACCCATCTATCGTCTTCTCGAGGCAGCCAGAGGGAACCATGGGAACGGGATCCTTGAAACAACCGACACGACTCCGAAACAACCGGGACTTGAAACGACCGAGACTAAAGCAGCCAAACATCTACTGCCACAATCTGAGGGTCTGGACAAGTCCAGTGACCATTAGTACCCTGAGGGATCAAAACACCTAAAATTTCCGACAGACTCCTGTAATAACACGGACCCACAAAAACACGAGCAGCAATGAACTAACAACGCGACAATGGACTGAGAGGCTCGGGGAATCAAGGGGTTTCGATGCGCGTTAACACGCGCCCGGGTGGTGGGTTGAATATCCCTCGCTCGGGTGGGGGTCTATTTGACCCCCGGAATCTAAAAAGAGAGAGCTAGAAACACTTAATTTAAAAGTGGGCTGGCCTGTATGTAAACTCGCTTGTGTCAAAATTCAAGGTTGATGGATCATGACAATGGGGTTGACACGCGCCCGGGTGGCCGGCTGGATACCCTTCGCTCGGGTTGGGGGTGTATTTGACACCCCTGAGATCTCAAAAACTAAGAGTGCTAGAAACACCAAATTTACAGGGTATATTGACCCGTACGGGGACGCACTTAGATCAAAGTTTTAGGTTCCTAGATGATGACCTTAGGATCAAATAAAGCCGAACAAAGTCAAATTCCAGGTTGGTCTCAGAAGTGCCCCTAAAACCTAGATAACTGTTTTAAAGCAAAAGGTCACATGCTCACTTAAGGTCAGTGACCCTGTTTCGCCTCTTGAAGGTCATGGTGCCCAAAATCGTACAAGGCTGCTCTGAGTTTGAATTTGAATAACAATAATCATTCGAACAAGCGACAAAGATTACGCTAGGTAGTATGTTTCTAAGAACTAAACGTTGACCTGGGTCATTTTAGGTCAATGACCTATTCTGACCTCTCAGAAGTTCATGAAAGACACATAATGCGGTTCCTGCTATCAGTTAATTCGAAATGAGCACCAGAAACAACCCCATACAGCAAGCCCTAGATTCATAAAACAGGTTGGTTTTGACCTTAGTGTAGCCTTCATAGCTGACCTTAGGTCAATGTACTTTGCTCATTCAACTGTTGTGTTGCTTGATAAAACGTCTCAGAGATGTATGGCTTCGTCTTACACTCCGTTGTTGGATCAGATTGAAGGATTCCCTAGAAATTGCCTTCGCTGAAACCACGGCCTGACTTTGACCTGACATAGGTCAGAGACCTTACAAGGAAAATCTAAGTATTTGATGCCAAAGGATCCGCTATTTAATTTACTACAGCCATGCCAAATTTGGCGCGGCTACGCTGCACCGTTCGGAAACCATTCTGGAAAAACCATCGGGGGGTCAAATTGACTCCCCACCCCCACCCGAGCGCGAATTGAATAAAATCAAACAAGGTCAAACTCCAGATTGGTGTTCAAAATGCCCCCATGCCTCCTCATGCAACCGCCTTGAACCTAGATACCTGTTATAAGCAAAAGAACACTAGTGTTCATTTAGGGTTAGTGACCTTGTTGGACCTTTAGAAGGTCATGGTAATCCAAGGTTCCACGAGACTGTTTTAATTTTTGCATTTGAATCAACGTCAAGGATTACGCTAAGGGGAATGTTCCTCGTCTTTCGCCATCTTGGGTCAGCGACCTACCATGGCCTTAAAAAAATCATGAAATACGTCTGTTGCGATCCCCGTTATCAACAATTTCGAAATGATTACCAGAAACTATTCCATGCAGAGGCTGTCTAGTAAAAAAAAAAATCAGGTTGGCTTGGACCTCAGTCTGGCCTTCATGCCTTGCCCTATGTTATTGCAATTCATTGTGATATTAAATTAAAATGTTTTATTGCCTAAGAAACTACTTGCCAGATGTATGGCTTCGGCTTGATTTGCCACATTGCTTGCCACGGCTTGATCCTTTGCCACATCAGAGTGAACGATTTCATAGAAATGGCTTTCGTAAACAGCCAAGGGCTGACTTTGACCTGCCATAAATCAGCAACCTTACAGGTGGCAGCTAAGTACCTATTTTCATACCAAAATATCTGCAGCTCAATTGCTCACAGTTATGCGGGGTTTAGTACGGCTACACCGCACGGGGGTATGCGGGGTTTGAAAAATCTTCGGGGGTCATTTCACCTCCACCCAAGCGCGTGCTGAATGTCCCAAGCCATTTACATGGCTTCACAATGGGCCAAAGCGCACTGGTAATGGCATAAGGAAAACGCCCGATGCAATGCAGTCATCAGGTAATGAGGTTTTTTTGGGAGGGGGGAGGGAGCGCGGCCACTGGCACCCCACGCTTATCCTCCTACTAGCCAGGCGATAACATTTATAAATGCTATTGGTCCAGACCGTTAGCCCGTTTTTAAACTATCGATGGCTGCGCCTGAGACAATCTTTAACCTGCATGGCTTGACAACTGCAGGAGGTGGTAAAACGCTCTGAAAATCATAATGCCCCCATACTCATTCCAACCGGGATCAAACCATTCGAAGACCACGATGCTCCCACAGCTATCTCAATCAGGACCGCGTGACCAGCTACCTCAACACGACGGTGTCTCATCTGAACCGTTCCCGGGACTCCGCAGACGCTCAGGACCACGGTGTCTCATCTGAACCGTTCCCGGGACTCCGCAGACGCTCAGGACCACGGTGTCTCATCTGAACCGTTCCCGGGACTCCGCAGACGCTCAGGACCACGGTGTCTCATCTGAAACATTTCCGGGACTCCGCAGACGCTCAGGACCACTTGGTAGTGTGGGAGCTCCTTGGAATCAATATCATGGCGCTTCCGTAGTCTGGAGAAAACGTTCTGGAGGCGTAACCCAGCGGCACTGGGTGCAGGATCCAGAGCAGACGCATGACTTAAACTGACTTTCATAGAACGTCAGCTGGCATTTCGCCAACGAGATGGACCCAGCTTCGGGTGGCCGTGCCGCAGTCTCGTGGGACGGGGCGGACCCCGGCTCGGGTGGCCGAGGCACGGCCTCGTGGGACGGGGTGGATCCAGGTTCGGGTGGCCGAGGCACGGCCTCGTGGGATGGAGTCGATCTCGGCTCGGGTGGCCGAGGTACGGCCTCGTGGGACGGGGTGGATCCAGGCTCAGGTGGCCGTGCCGCAGTCTCGTGGGATGGGGTCGATCTCGGCTCGGGTGGCCGTGCCGCAGCTCCGAAGGACGGGGTGGATCCAGGCTCGGGTGGCCGTGCCGCAGCCTCGTGGGACGGGGCGGACCCCGGCTCGGGTGGCCGAGGCGCAGCCTCGTGGGGCGGGGTTGAGTTGCATTGACTGGATTGAGGATTGAGTGGATTGAGTGGACACAAATGAATTGAGTTGATGTCCCACGAAAAGTGAGCCATATCATGCGTGGGTACATGGTGTCGTGATCGCGAAGTTACGCACTACGGCAATCCCCTCAGCGGTCCGGCTTCATCAGCAGTACTATCGGTGTTGGGACATTATATTTTGAGTCCACGTGGACGGGTGTGTAATCGTCAGCAACATGCTCGAGTCAAAGGAGCCATCTTTCATAATCAGAAGAGGTTTTACCCATCTATATACCCAAAGAAAGCGCGTCATTAGCAACCAATGTCATTGGTATGGAGTGGATAATATTTGTCGCGTTTCAAAAAAGCCGCTGTGTAAAAACCAGTTGGAGCTACCTTAACTTAGAAACAGCCCAACAGGCTGATCTAAACATTTGGACACGTTTAAAACATTTCATGCAGAAAACTCCACGAGAAAGCCAACCACTGCCTGGCAGCCAGGCGGCCCGAGACGAACCGTTCCCAGCGCCGTTCTGGTGCCACTGGAGGAGCCGCCATAGCTTCTGGCGGAGGGGGATGTGTAGCTCGAGGGTGTGGCCGTGCTCTGGAACAGAAACAGGCCCATCAGAGACGGCATGATCAGGTGTGCAGACCGCTGACGTCCGGCGTTCTTGAGCGGCATCCTCGAGCGTTTATCGGCGGCGTCGCCTCTTTCCCGAATCGGCGCCGCGCGCGCCGGTGGCCGGGCCGGGCCGAGCCGGGCGCGCGGCCAGCGGTGACGTCACCACTGGGCGGCCGGTCGGCGGCGCACGTGTCAGCGGCAGTGGCACCCTTCTGTCCCAAAATACCCGGCCACTCCGCCGTCCCGCGTTCCCCGCCTGACCCGGCTCGTGCAGGGCCACTCCTGGCAGCGTGTGGGCCGCCGCAGACATCAAATAGACGGTCCCTTGGATGGTACAGTACACGACAGGAGCATGATGCCACTGCGCCGCCTGTGACGCACACGGTGTTTAACTGATACCTTGGCACGCCATTGAACGGCGCAGGCCGTTGAGACAACCGATTGATGCGCGCCATCCATTGTTTTTGCAATTTTGAAGCGGAAACGCTGGGTGGGGCTCTCACCCCTTCACGCATTCCACTGGCAAATGCTGATTCAGGAGGCAGCATGCCGCTTGTATTGGCTAAACCCGAATTGCACTGGCAGATATCTATTTTTATCAGGCAAACGGGGTAAGTGGTGAGAAATTGGGCTCGTCAACCCTTACATCCAACGTCCTGGCCGGGTGAGGCCAGCTTGAGGCTCGCTTTCAACATTCTTATACAAGAACGAAGCGATATAAATTCACTGGTTTCTAAGTTTTGACCACGTGAAAGAATTTACCAAGCTTCATATTCCCTAGGATATTGAGTGAATATATGCAGAGAATACTGGCCATGGTCCCAGATACTGGAGCAATACAAATCCAACCAGCGCATTACAATTTAGCCCCTTGGCTACGGTTTCCCGTTCCCCTTATCTCTGAGCATGCCGGTGACTGTTGTGATGTGACAAGCCCTTAGTCATTGGAAGCCGCAAGCGAACTTCACCTTCTCAGACGCCAGCTGGTCGGCGTAATGGTTGCACGTCACCGGTATCGCCACACAGTAAATAATGTGCATCTTTCGACCAAAAAGTGCATCCATAACATGCATCGAAGCATTACCTAGGGTGATGCTTTGAATGCATGCAAATTTGTCAGACCACTCACTGTCCATCCAGCTCACCAGCTGGCTACATGACTGACCAGACCAACGAACAAGCTGACCATCTGAACGCTGAACCAGACCACGACCTGGTCAGTTTCCGGACCGGAGTTTTGCAGCCAGACGGCGCGCGTCTCAAGGTGCGCCCCAGCCGGTCGGGGCTGCCCCACAGCTGCCCGCGCCGCGCGGCTGGCCGGCCGGCGCCCGCGCCGACCGCCCGCGCCAACCGCCGCCGGTTCCCGACGCCTCCAGAGTGCTGGCGTCGACGGCGACGACGCCTCATCTGCACCGACGCGGCCGGAAAACCCAAATATTTGCCGCGTGACGCCGTGTCACTGCCGCCGCCGCCGCCGACTCATGCGCGAGACAAATGAGCAGGCAGGTGCGTCAGCGGGGCAGCGCGGCAGGACCGCTGCAAGCACGCGGGCTGCGGCGCCGACCGCAGGCCCAGGCGCGGTCACTGACCTCCGCATGTCCGAAGCAATCGGTCAGCCATCGGTCACGACGCGGCGCACTGCCCGACCATCTATCGGCGCCGCCCTTAAAGCGGGCAGATGCCGGCCGGGCCGCGCTTCCGGCGGGGCGGCAGGTCGGACGGCCGGCGCGCAGACACGTGCGCGTCCACAGGTGACGAACAAAACCCTGCTCACTCGCTGTCAATGATCGTACGCTTGGGGAACAGGCAAAAGACGTCCCTGTTTCGTGGATGGCAGACATACTCCCGCCATGCGCGCGCAGCAAATGCGGTCGTTCCATCTTTGTTGATCAGATCTTCTTTCGCTCGCTCTCAACTGGCAGCCACATGTCCACCTGTTTCACAGAGGTTGGCCGGGCACACCTGATCTCAGCCGTAGCGTGTTCACAGAGGGCAGTCAGTCACTCCTCCGCGCACAGATCATGATCAGACGGCTTGTCCCCCACCCCCCTCCCCCAGTCCAATTATATTTCAGACATGCTTCTCCTCACACAAGAGCTTTTGCATCTAATGGTACCGGGGGTGCGTGCCCCCCCCCCCGCCCCTAACTGAATTAATGGTATGTTTTAACGTGTACGTGATTAAACGTTGACGGTCAAAAGTTACGGGTAGGCATGTTAACGTCAAAATATTGATGTTTCGCTGTCGTCGTAAAATGTAACGTAAAGTCTTAAAATAGCGGCACGCTTAGTTGTTTGACGATATACATGAAAATGAGCGCTTGCGCCGCACTAAGCTCGGCTTTTAGAAAATGTTTTTGGCTGTTGCTTCCCGTGCTCTCCCCCCCCCCCCCAGCCCTCTCCCGTTGCGAAATATTGGTCTCACATCCTTCCGTTTACAGATGGTCACAGGATCATCACTGGCAACAATTAGACGCGACCGTGTTCACCAATGATGATCGGAAGCATTGCTGCGCACAGGCGCACAGACATTAAACGTATGTCTCTCTTCAAGGAAGCGGTGCAATTCAGAAAACATTCCTTTTAAAAACGATGACAAGATGCTCCTACGTCCACGGACAGTGATCCCTTCGTTCACAGGCCGTAAGTAGGTCTACATCAGTTCGCAGGCTACGATTAGGTGTCCGTCCGTTCACAGACCATGATCAGACGTTTCTCCGTCCACAGATCACAATCGAAGTTCCTCCATTCACAGACTGTGATTATGTGTCCATCCGTTCACAGGTCGTGATCAGGTGACGCTCTGTTTGCATACCGTTTTCAGACGTCCCTCCGTTCACAGACCATGATTATGTGTCCACCCGTGCACAGACCGTGATAAGACGTCCATCCGTTCACAGATTGCGACCAGCCATTGAATCACTCACAGACCGTGATCAGGCATCCATCCGTTCACAGATCGCGATCAGGCATCGAATCACTCACAGACCGTGATCAGGCGTCATTTTGCTTACAGACCGTCGTGAGAACTCCCTCCATGCACAGATCGTGATCAGACGACTTTGCGTTAGAATATCGAGATCGGGAATCTTTTCACTTAAAGACTGGACGAAAGCCACTGCATTCGCAGAATGGCCGAAAGCCACTCCATTCGCAGAAAAAGATAGGACACTCTCAGTTTTGCAGACCGTACTGGCATACTCCTCCGCTCGCTGCTGATAATCATAAGTTCAATCATGTACATATGGCACTCAGATGTCAGTCCATTTCACAAACCGTGATTAAACGAGGCTGGCTTTCGACATAATTTGGCGCACATGCAGAAGTCAGTCATTGCCCCACCCACAGGCCGTGATTAGAAATGCCTCCTTACATTGAGTTTCGATGTTTAGACCTCTGTGAAGTGTCTTGAAGTGTTCAGAAGTTACTTCATCCACAGAGGAAAATCCGACGTCTCTCTCGTTTAAGTTAAGTTCAAACTTTTTGAATCATTGATTTTCTGGGATCAGAGCTTGGTCTAAGCAGCGTATATTGGTTGAGTCTCTCCATCCACCATCCGATCGTAAAATTCCAGATAACCGGTGAGATTTTGTGGCAAGGTTGAACACGCCAAAATCCTCGGCACGATTTGTCCTGCCCTCTGACCTAACCTTGTGCATGGCCACTGCTGTCGGACGCAGACCATCCCAGCCAGGGACAAATAGCGAACACTTCAAGCACGTCGAGAAGCCCACACTGCTACAGGTGGGAGACCGGAGTACATGCGCTCCAACCGGGCTATCGGGGCGGAGCTCTGGCACAGATGTTGATTCAACGTCACTGCATTCATAAAAAGAGCAGAGGCCGCCCCACACCTTTTCGTTCGCATGGAGTCATAAGACACGCCTTCATTTACTAGTAACAACACCACAACATCCCCCCGTTTACAGCCGGTGATGGAACGTCCCCCCATTCACAGGCAGAGCAAGTAAGCGGAGGTGTAGGTTCACGGCATCAGTTGAGGTGTTAAGCAAAGTGAATGCTAAACCTACCACCAAAATACAGCGTGAAATGACTTTCTCCCCGAATGTCATCCACTTTGCTCACAAAGATGCAGGCTGAGCAGGCTGAGCTGCTCCCCTCCCCCTCCCCCCCCCCCCCCACACACACTGAAAAGGAATCGGTATCCCTGAGGGTGGCACCGGGCCTCCCTTTATCACAAACGCTCTTCAGGTAGTCTTTATTAGATGAAAAGGTCGCGTGAAATCAGCATAGCAGCAGTTATAGTTAGTTGCACGCAGTGCTATGACTTTCCATCGGTACAGGAAAAAGGGAGGGATTGCGTGTGCCCCACCCACTTTTTATGAATGCTTAACATTAGCCCAATGACGATGCATGACAAACTCTGTCTCTAAACGGGCTAGTCATTCCATCTTTAGGACGTTCCAACGACCATGAAGTCGTCTTTAAGTCACCGCACGCTTGTCATTTTTTTTTGTGCTCACATTTTGTGCTCACTGACAGCAGTTCAGATTAAGAGCAGCCTGAAGAGTAACCGGTGAATGTTCAATGAGTGTGGTCCTCTCCTGCGTGGTAATGAGGTTATACCATAGCGAGAAATATCAATCAATCGTTGCGAAATATAATTCGTTGTGATATTTGCACATCGATATCCAGTAATTAATAAAGATAAATTGGCTCTGTTAGCAACCTGCCTCGTCGGCATGTCTGAAACATGGCTAAAATAATAAAGATACATCGCTCATTCCACTAGGGATATCTATTGATTTCGACTAATCAAAAAGCATAGCCGGTTGAGTGGAACATGCACGGAGACGGGAGAGCGGTTGGTCATGGTGCGGCATGGTTGCACCACATGCACCAGCCTTAGTCAGCTAGCTGCCCAGCTGCCACTCTTCGACTGACATTCCGATATCATGGCAAACCGTGCGTGCGCAAAGGGCTGTCTTCCCTTTGAGCAAGTGGCATGACGTTTTCCCCACA